TAACCAATGAGTGTTTGCGTTCTATGACTCATCCAATCACACTAGTTTTCACTAGATGTGGATGGAGCCAATGATCTGCATTGGATGGAGCACATGACGGGAAATAAAGATTTAGAAACATTAAACCGAAGCCAACGAGTAACATTTGTTTACAAATGTAAGGAATAGAAAATACAGATACTTGTGTGAAAATGCAATGAGTAGAAGTCAGAAGTAGGAAGAAAAATAAGTAATGGAGTAAAGTATAGATTCCTAAAAAGTGTACTTAAACACAGTAACGAAGTATTTGTAGTTACTAGACACCTCTGCTTAATTTGCACATTATTTAAAAAGGGGAGCGAAGGGTGTGTTCCAACTACAGAGGAATCACACTCTTAACCCTGGTAAGGTCTATTCCGGAGTTCTGGAAATGAGGGTTCGTTGGATAGTTGAATCTGGGATTCAGGAGGAGCAGTGTGGTTTTAGTCCTGGCCGTGGAACACTGGATCAGCTCTACACCTTCAGCAGGATTCTGAAGGGTGCATGGGAGTTTGTCTAACCAGTCTACATGTGTGTTGTGGACCAAGAAAAGGCATTCAACTGTGTCCCTTGGTGGGTGGGTCCTGTAGGGGGTACACGGGGAGTATGGAGTACCTTTTAATAAAGTCTGTTAGGTCTCTGTACGTTGTCAGAGTCTGGTCCCGTTGCCGGCATTAAGTTGGACTCGTTTCAGGTGAGGGTTGGACTCCACCAAGCTTGCATTTTGTCACCAATTCTCTTCATAACTTTTATGGACAGAATTTGTAGGCGCAGGTGTTGAGGGGATCTGTTTTGGTGGCCTTAGGATAGTGTCAGTTATTCACAGATGATGTGGTTCTGTTGGCTTCATCAGGGCGTGATCTACAGCTCTCACTGGAGCGGTTCGCAGCTGAGTGAGAAGCGGCCGGGATGAGGATCAGTGCCTCCAAATACGAGACCGTGGTCTTAAGGTGGAAAAGGGTAGAGTGCTTTCTCCGGGTTTGGGAGGATGTACTGCCCCTAGTGGAGGAGTTTAAGTATCATGTGGTCTTGTTCACAAATTAGGGGAAGATGGAGCGGAATATCGATAGGCGGATTGGTGCGGGGTCTGCTGTGAAGCGTGCGCTGTACCAGTCTGATGTGGTGAAGAGAGAGCTGAGCCAAAAACTATACTCTCGATTTACCGGTTGATCTACGTTCCTACTCTCATCTATGGTCATGAGCTTTGGGTCATGACCAAAAGAACGAGATACCGGATACAAGCGGCTGAAATGAGTTTTCTTTGTAGTGTCTGGGCTCTCCCTTAGAAATAGGGTGAGGAGCTCAGTCATCAGGGGAGGACTCAGAGTAGAACCGCTGCTCCTCTAAGTCAAGAATAGCCAGTTGAAGCGGCTCGGGCATCTAGTTAGGATGCTTCCTGGACATCTCCCTGAGGTGTTCCGGTCACGTCCCACCGGGAAGAGGCCCAGGGGGAGACCCAGGACACGCTGGAGGGACTTTGTTTTTTCAGCTGGCCTGGGAGCGCCTTGGGATTCCCCCGGAGGAGCTGGCTCAAGTGGCTGGGGAGAGGGAGGGATGGATGGATGGATGGATGGATGGATGGATGGATGGATGGATGGATGGATGGATGGATGGATGGATGGATGGATGGAATTGCCACATTTCATTTATTGTTGCGTCTTTTCTAATTATTTTCAGTCAAGATAACACGGTGGACATCGCCTTCATCCCAGGAAAAGGGCTTTTTCCAAGCAGCACATCGCTCCACAACGGAGTACAGCGAGCCGCAGCCAACAGCTACAACTCTGGACGCCTAAAAGTTCACATCCGATCACCTGAGGTCAGGTTTATTACATTTCATGGTTCTGTCAGGGTTTTACCACAGCTAAGTCTTTTATTACTTTTGCAAGAACAAGGCTTCTCTAAAAGCAGAAATATTTTCAGCTTCTGCCGTTTTTCTTAACACTTTCTAGGATACAGCAATAGGTATTCTGGGACCATATTTGCCAAGGAGTTACTGCACTCAGTATTTGTGGTCAGTTTCACAAAGCAGGTTTATTGAAAACTGAGGTTTTTTAACCCTGATATCAGGGAAACTTAGTTTTCCATTTCGCCAAGGGAGTTTACTCAACGTCTGTTTATGTTGCTGTAGTAACATTCTCTCCAGAGCTAACTTGATCGGGAGCAGCTGTTGTTCAGTGTCTGTCTCTGCTCTCCAGGAAACCAATCACATTGATTTATTTCATGATTAAGTCAGGGAATTTTTATTCGTTGTTTTGTGCATAAAAAAATAAAAATAATTGGATGAAAGAACATTGATGGAGAGAAATATCAGCTGTGCTGCTTCTATCAACACCTTTATTTATAGATGTTGGAGGTTGACCTGTTTTTCAGTGTAGTCCTGTTTCTCTGACTGGGACTGGCTGGATGTGCTCTCTTCATCCTCTGACATGGGAGCTGGCTGGGAGCTCGTCTGCCTGTCTGTGTGTTTCCTGGACAGGGCCGCTTTTTACAGTTGCCTTTTGTATCTATGTTTCTTTTTCTATGTCTGTCTCCTTGAACCCCAGTGGGCCTCAGCAGATGGCCGCTCACACTGAGCCTGGTTCTCCTGGAGGTTTCTTCCTGTTAAAAGGGAGTCTTCCTCTCCACTGTCACTGCAAGCATGCTTAGTGTGAGGGATTGACTTTGGGTCGATGAGGCCAATGGTTTTCATTAGATAGAAAACTTTGAATCTATTTTAAATGGATAATCTGGTGAAATGTAAAGAGCCTTGAAATGACATGTGTTGTGAATTGGCGCTATATATATAAACTGAATTGAATTGATGTGTCATAACAGCTTCATAGTTTATAGTATTTACTGTGTGATGGAAGACAGTATTTTATTCTGCATTAAAATCTCTAGTTCCAGTGGTATGAAATAGGCCCTTCCTCCTGCCTGTTGTCATGGTGACTTGTTGAGTCGGGGCTCCATTGATGATGGTTTTTCATAGTTTTCACTGTACAACTATGAGAGGAAATCGAGTGTATAAAGATGGATGAGATGATCGATAAGATTCTAAGATGCGTCCTGACATATTCCCCATTTATTCCTCCATTAATAAATGTGGATGTTTCAAGTCTATTTAAACTATTTGCCATTTTCAAAGTGAATGCTATGAAAACCAGAGATCTAAAAATATTTAGTTGCTTATTAAGAACTCCAGTTCAGTTTAAACTGTCCTACTAATAGCATCATACCTCAATAGATATGATCTTTCAGAAGGTTTTGTTGTGTTTTTATCCTTTGCTAACATTTATATAGGGGTCAGAGGGGCTAGCAACTGGATGGAGGTAAAGAGAGTCGTGGATTGTCACTCATCTTGTTTTGGTCTGCAGACACTCTTCAATAGCCTGTCTGTAGACCACACAACCTGTCAGTAATGGTGAAGTTTCACTAATTGCCCAATTAGGTAAATAATAAAGCTGCCTATCCACTGAAATTAGCGGGTTAACATTGCCACTTGGCAAAAATCCTGACCGGCAGCTGTGTAGTCTTTGTCTGCGCACTGCTGCGTATCTTGTGATGTCATCATGCTGGTTTGGCGTAAATGATGTCATCAGTGCAATAGAAATCAGAATAATAAAAAATAGAGAGCAACATGGAAGGCAGGCAGGACAGGGCTCTTTTGTCCATCTGAATCTCTCTTACCTACGGAGCCCCTCTGATGACATGGTCAAAAAAAATTTTTAATTGTGGCCACGAAGTAGTATTTCGTGCGCACGTTAAACTTATTGCGTGGCCACGAAGTAGTATTTCGTTCGCGCGTTAAACTTATTGCATGGCCACGAAGTAGTATTTCGTTCGCACGTTATACTTATTGTGTGGCCGCGAAATACTACTTCGTGGCCACAATTAAACATTTTTTTTGACCATGTCATCAGAGGGGCTCCGTACTTACCAGTGCTGCTCCATGCTTATCAAATGCAATCAGAGTTAGCTTGTTAGAGACTTGATTGGCACAAAGTTGTGACATGTTCAAGGGTATCAGTGGCGAGTGGATGAGCTGTTTAAGGCAATTTTTACCCCTGTCACATGCCGAGTCGTTAACCAGGTTGAAGAAGGTCAATGGACCGTTCCCACTGCCACTAACACTCGAATGCTTGCCTTTTTGAGCAGGTTTTTTGGTCAGTGCTGAAAGGGATCTAAGAATACTTTTGACACCGCTATTTTTAGCCACTTTTAGTAGCTGTTGGCCAGATTAACGGTTAAAGAAGGTTTAGAATCAGAATCAGAGAATCAGAATTCTTTATTGTCATTGCTCCACAGGGGTGCAACGAAATTACTTGAAAAAGAAAAAAACACAGTACAAGCAATCAGTGCAAATTTAAAAATATAAAATAAAAAAATAAAATTAAATAAATAAACACGAAAAAAAGTTTAAATAGGGATACTGCGGGCTCTCCTGAGGTAGCGGGTACAGGTTATTGCACGTGAGGTAGCATTATAGTTACCGTTAAATTGTACGTGAGGCGTTCAGGGCAACAACAGCTCTAGGAAAGAAACTGTTTCTCAGTCTGGTTGTTTTAGTTCTTATTGCCCTGAAA